TCTTCCTGTTATTACTGTAATCAAGCAATCAATAACATCCTTCATGATGAGATAAATTTCCTGTTCAGCAGTCAATCCAGCATCAACTGCATTTTCACCTGGTATTCATTTACGATGTATTTTTCTTCTTTTAATGGTCAATCCCCATGTTTCACATTGATTCTTGCCCATTTTAAGTGCTTCTTGACAGGACTTTTCACCTGATTCTATCAATTTCTCTTTCAAAGAATCAAGATCAGCAGCTGCTTCTCTAAAATTCATTTTTTGGATCCTGAAGACGTTTCTGCACTCGATTTATAGATGATAAAAGATTTCTCCAAAAATGCAAAAGTACAAGAAAATCAAATGTAAGCATGCGTTGCAGAATATTATGAGCACCACATTTTGTTTTAGCCGTGTTGCCATTCTCACTTAATTGCTCTAACAGTCCTAACAATTCATCCAGTTTTTCATGTACAACTTTTACTGCCTTTTCTCTTGCACTCTACCTGTTTCTGATTCACGCTTGACAGAGATCTTAAGCTCCTGCTGCAGTTCGTCCCAATTATACCAAAACAAAAGGTAATAACTGTTGTTTCTTGACATGCTAAGTTCAAACTATGTTTGTCACAGTTTATAAACACTGCTTTTGAATTTTTGTTCAGAATTCTTTGTTGAATGCTAGACAGATGGCCTGATATGATAGCTGCATTATCATAACATTGTGAACAACAATCACTTAATAAAATTCCATCCGCTTCCAATTTTGTGCTCATTGTTTTCTCAATATTGGCAGCGTCTTTTTTCTTTATCTGTATAAAGTCAATAAATGACTCTCTGACTTCTACTTTTCTTGTCTTAAAGTCAATGTCAACAAACCGAATCACTTGGGCCAATTGCTCACGATGATTTATCTGACTTATCAGGTGTGGAATCAAACAGAATACCATAGTATTTCTTTCTACGAATTGCTGACAAAGAATAATTTCGCACTTGTGAAACCATGAGATTTATAAACTCATTTTGTATTTCAGGAGAAAGATAAGATGTTGAGGTTTGCTTGTTTTTAACACGCTCTAAACACTCTCTCATTACTGGATCATACTTTGCTAATAACTGCAAAAGTGACAGGAAATTT